TCCAGCAAAAATGAAGAAGGAAAGTTGAATCTCATTTTATTGATAAAAGTTTTAATTACAGGAGTAAGCTGCACTTTTTCTTAGGTGCTGCCCCTGTGCTCTTAAGTCCATCAGCTTAGAATTCTGCAATTACATATGGAAATTCAGATAATCAAAGGCTTCAGAATAGGGTGAATATGGGAAGGGCTGGAAGGGTTATGTGGAGGATTTGGAGCAATTGGACATGTGCTAGTTCTTATCTTAGAACCTTATTTTGTTAAGGTGCCCATGACAAATAAGAAAAATTACTTTTTCCATGGTTCCAGAATTGTATGACCTGGTAGTCTGGAAGAAAAGAAAGAATCTCATAATATTTGCCTTCTGTGGACTATTCATGCAGTGAAGCTATTTTTTTTCCTGAAGAGTTGAGAATGTGTAGGAAGCTGAGCTGTGCAGTGTAGTTAGAACTGAGGAACAGTGCATCTAGTTTTGTGATAGCAGTCTGGCCAGTGAGTGACCACAACAAAAGAAAGACTCAGCTTTGTAAAATGAATGATTCTCTGACTGTGATAAACCACTTGCACATTCAGCACGAGGAAGAAAAATAGATATGGACTTAGAGAGCAGTGATGGATTGGTCTTTAAAAGAGTGCTAGTTCTGGGGGAAAAAAATAAATATTTCTTTTACTAACTTAGATGGGGACACTTTAGCTAGTCCAGTGTTTAAGGTTGTACCTGTAACACATATCTTAGAGCCCTGTAAAGAGCTACCTGAAACATAGGTAAACAAGCAATCCAGGTACTGAAGACAATCAGGTTTCTAATAGTAAGGAACTTATTTATCCTGTTTAAGAAAACAGTGGGTTTGAATTCCTTGGCTTTTCTTTCCTGCTTATACATTTTAAATCGTCAGTGCAGCCTGCAGTGAAATTATTTGATTACAGAAGTGTCATTTTGTTGTTTGTGATGCTGCTTCTGGGTAAGTACTGAGTAAGAAAATCCCAGATCCCTCTCTGCCAGGTTCCTTGCTTTTGCTTTGCTGATCTGAGCTGAGATGCACTTGCTGTAATATGACATGAGATCCAGCACTGTATTTCTGCCGACAGACTTCAAGTTCTCCCTTCTCTTACTGGCATTGACTTGAATTTCTGCAAAGAGAATACTGTGGACAGCACAGCAGTAAGGATTTTAATCCTTTTCATTATAAAACTCAACAAAATCTGCAGAAACTCAACATACCTCGTCTACCAGGCTTTGTGTGCAGTAATTGCTTTTGTATTTCTGCTGAGACACAGTTCTTCAACAGAGTGCAAACCAGGAGGAATGACTGTAGAGGAAGTGTGATGCTTTTCATTGTAGTTCCAAGCTGTTTCCCAGTTTACTTCCTGGCATATCTAATGGCATGGAGACAAAGCTCACAGCCCATCTCCATGAAAAGGAGGGCACAGGGCTGATTTGGATGCACTCAAACTGATCAGGGAAACTTGAAATAAGGGCACCTGACAGATTCAGGGGTTTCTGGGTGGAACAAAACCTTTAGAAGTCTCAAGAGAATAACACATGGTCTTTCAGTGACATATCTTTCAATGAGTTCTCTCATTTTCACATTGGTCTTTAGTATGAAATGGTTAACAGAGATTCCACCTGCCTGTTCCACAAGTAGGTCAGCATTTGATAACTGCATTAAAATTGGCCTTTCCTAAATCCTCTCTCTCACTGTAATCCTTCCTGTCCCTCTCAATTTCCCCATGTTCTAATGCCCCATTATGGAGAAAATGTTGAGTCTTTTTTCAGATTATTTCCAAATTCTCACTCACAATGGAGCTGTTTTGTTTGGATCACATTTCTTCCCCAAAAGCTCCTGAAGATAGACATCACAGATATGATGCCATATGAGAAAGAAGGTTTTGTTATGCTCATGCAAAATGCCATGCCTTTTTCTATTGCTCTGAAAAAAAACCCAACAAACCAAAACAAAACCAAAAAAGCCCAAAGTGTTTTGGGCTTGTGAAAACATCTCACAGAATATATTCAGAATATTTAAATATCTTTAGTAATTTAACTCTCAAGCCTAACATTCAGCTCATTTTCATTGTGGCCTATCACTTCTGGTGTGGCATTACTGAAAACCTTCTGATTAAAGCCAGCTCTCTTATGCATACTTTACCTCTGTGACCTATGAGTAGCTTGAAACCATTTGAACTCTGTCTAAATTGGATCCCCCTGGTTGTAAGTGTTACTGCATGTCAGTTCTATGTCAGTTGGATGGAAATCTTGCTGCAGAGGATGAAAGTTCACAGCTCAGTATTAATCTACTGGGCAAACTACATCTAATACCTTCAGTTTTCTTGAAATACAGCTTCTGATGACCTCTGACAGGCAAAATACAATATAGGATTTTCTAATATTCATTTTTAGTGTAGCTATTTAAAATCTAGCATGTATCATCCTTCTGTACCAAATAAATGCTGTGAGAGACAAAATTAAGAATAGTGACAAGTGGATTATTGGACATGGAGACTTTTGTTAATCAAATATGTCTGGGTCCATTACTTCACAATTGTCTTGAAACAGAAAATGCAAATCCAGGCTTCAGTAAAGGAGGCTGTGTACAGATGAACTGCTGCCTGGGATTCCCTTGATATCTGTGGGATGAGACTTTCAAACTGCTGTGTGAGGTCAACAAAAAAAATCCCGAAGCCACATGGTTTCTGGAGCAGACAGCATAAATCACTGAGTGTTGGTGGAGTCTGCCTTTAACTCACAAATAAGAACTTTGAATTTAGCACCAGCTACTGTTTAAAAGAGAATCTGTATAGATTTGTGCAGCTTAAATGACACCATTATCAACATCCTGTGTTACACAGTGACACCTTTGCTCTTGTCAGTTTTAGGGAGTCCTGCAAGTACATTACATTGCTTTCGAAGTGACTTTTTTTGGACATAAAATCCAAGCCTAAAAAGGGAAAATGTCTGATAGGTGCAGGTTTGTAAGTCTGCAACTTATTTCTGTTTAAACTAAGAGCAGAACTCATACCTCTTTCAGAGGAGCAAGATATTGACTTTTAAATATTTAGTTAGAATCTGAAAGGAAATGGATCCTGCATTCCTTGCAAATCCTAAATTGTCTGTGAAAACAGTGGGATTTGGTAGGAGGAAAGAAATCTAAAATTAAGCTCTGTTTTGCAGTGGGATGATGCTAGTTCTGGGAGGGTTGATTTTTAGGCACTAGACATGAATTAAATTCATCTTTCTCAAAGCCCTGGTTCAGTCCTACTGAGGAGAACTGGCAAAGTGTTCTTGTGCTAGGCCTGAACGGAGCCCTTGGTTCTTCAAGAAGCCTGTGCTTCAGCCCCGTGTTTAAAAGAGAACTTTTAGCCTGCAGAGGGTGTACCTAATCAACAGTGGGCTTTTGAGCCCTTCCAACTCCTCTTATTCTGTAGCTACAGTTTGTCATTACACTGCCATTTGATAAGTCAGACAAACTGTCTCATCCGATGACTCTCATCCTGTCATTCCTCTTAGGGAAATACAAAACAATAGTAATAAATCAGTACCGGTATGGCCAGAAGTATTTTAAGACAGTGGCAATTGGATCAGTTCTTGGACGGTTTAGGAGCATATTTTCCTGTTGTTTCCATTTTTAGACCCAGACTTCTAAAATCCTGACAGCCTGACTCTTTTTTCCTGTGAGTCACACAAAGGAATAAATTTTTAATTACAAGATGTGCAGAGCCCAGGGTTCGAAACCTTGGAGTCCTCTTCTGTCAGAGGTTCTAAAACCTGCTATGGAAAGATCCATCTCAGACATTGGAGTAGCTCCCTGTGGTTGCAGTGTTTGGGTCACACTCATCTCTGGGAGACCAGAGCTCACTCAGCAGTAGCACCACAGAAGTTTCCTGTAAGTACATCTGCTGTACATACACACATTCTGATATAAATACGGAATCACAGCATAGGGACTCTTACAACAATGCAGTGAGGACAAAGTATTAAAAAAAAAAAAGAAAAAGAAATTAAGCAGTCTGCAGACTGTGGCAGTTTTGTGACCAGTGGGCTTTAATAATTGATTTTTGCTTTGTTAATTTGGCAGTACTGAACGTGAGTAACTGTAGTGTTCAGATCAGACAAATACGTGGGAAAGAGCACACTGACGAAAATCCCTCAGAAGATAAGCACATGTTTCACAGTAACATGAGTGTGTGCAGCCACATCCTGGACTGAAAGAATTAAAGTTGGGGCTGACAGCGGCGATCTCTTCCTTCACTGCTCGTTGGCTTGCCCTATGCATTTTGATGGAGACCCTCAGACATGGAGAAGTAACTTACCCATTGTACAACTCCCATATCTGGTAAATTTTCTTTTGAAGCTTGCAGAGTGCTTTATGACAGGCTAAACTTGAAAGAATAGAAGGAAGCCAACAACAGTGGATGAAATAGTATGATTTAATAGTTTTTGCATATGAAATAGCTGGCTAAAAGATCACGTATTCTTAAATAAGAGGGTTTTTATATCAACAGCTAATGTCTAATCTCAAAAATTAGGGTCTGATCTCAAGGCAAAGCAGAATGTCTGCTTTTTTAATTATATCCATTTAACTAGAAGTAAAGCTATGGATTTTAGTGGGATGAAGGTGATTCTGTATCTTTTGCTCTCTAATCCAAAAATATATAGTATAGTCTTTAGTCTGAAGTTTGGGCAGAACCTTAAATATGTATTTGTCCAGGTTTATTCTAGATTTTGACCTTCTTAAGGTTAACAGTTTGTTTTAAATTGGAAAAAGTCATTGTCAGACTATTAGTTTATCTTGCACGTGGGTAGAGACAGAGGCTAATCTGGGAAAGTTTTGTGTCTGGCTTTGTTTTAGAAGCTGTAGCATTTTGTAGGCTTGGCCCCATACCGGCTACACCACTGGGCTTGTGGAAAGTTGGAACTGAACCCCTACTTTTTCCTTTGTCTCTTGCATTGCCGTTTTTGTATTTTTTAATTTCTTCCCTTTTTGCTTCTCCTTTCCAGAGGTGAGACACCTCAGTGGATGGGTCACTGTGACAATGAGGTTGCTACAAACAGACACTGTGACTCTGCTTCTCCCAGCGACCATCAAAGGCTACGCTGTGTGCAAATCTGAATGCACAACAGGAATCCACAGGAACCCTGGGGGCACAGAAAGGTACCCTGCTTAAATTCTAACTGAGACTTATAATTGATTTTATAAACTGGTTTTCTTTTAGAAGGCTCTTTTTACAACAAGATCACAGTTTGGAATGTGCAGTAATAACATCACAAAAGATGGAATTGTGGTCAAGAGGTCTGGGGGGGGGGGGGAACACTGATAGAATGCTCCTCAAGTGCATGGTTTGGGTTAACAGTAACCAGCAGAGAAAATGGCTTTTTAACACATAGGATTTGAGACCACCTCATGGGAAGAGATGATATCAAACCCCATGGAAATCACACCTAGTTTAGTTTAGAGACTTGAATGTGTTACCAGAAAGTCCTCTTAAGATTCTACTTACCCTTTTTCATCGAAGCCTCCTATCTGTATATTCCCTAACAGAAAGGAGTCTTCTAGATATCTGTTTGCACAACTTTCTAGTTAGGCTTGTTGATAATTAATCTGGATAAATCCATGTGCAGAAACTTCTCATTATCATTCTTTCAAAGCGTGATATAGGACCATCAAGAGATGTTTGTTTATAGATATTTTCCATTTCGTGGTTTCTGCCATGTGTATGTCACGGCGAGATTGAAGGTATAGTTTAGCTAAACTTTCAAATTTTAAAAACTAGTGCTTGGCGTTCCACTGCTTGATCTTGATAATTGCCTTTTGTACGTAAAAACGTTGGTGCAAAATGTAATAAATGTCCTGAAATAAATATTTTAATTGATAGTATCACAGTTTCCATAATTTCTTTGTCTTGTTTTATTGTTTGTTCATGTGGGTTTTGTTTTTCTTTTTTTCTGTTATTCCCAGTCCTTGTTCAGCTCTACAAGCACACTGCAAAGTGTCAGGAGGAATAACATATAGCTTGCAGTCCATCATCTGCATTCCCTTTGCATTAGGTGTAACACTGGCATGAAAATTGGAGCCCCTGCTCCAATTTTTCCAGCTGTCTCTGTCTCCCTGTGATCTTTTTGTACAAATTTTCTGGCAAGTCTACAAATATGCACGCTTATATCCCTTTCTTGGGCATGCATATGCATTTTACTATCTCAAAACATGGGTACAACTGAATGAAATCATTAGGGTTTTTTTTTCTCAGTAATTTGAGTGTGTTTGCTGGTGTAGGCAAACATCAGTAAACAGAACATACATACAGTATCAAAAAATACAATATCTTCTTCCTTTGTCCTCTTGCTCTCAGATTTCTATGTAAGTTTGTTTTGTTTTCATTCAAAATGTATGAATAAAGCAATATCAGGATCTTTTCACTGCCATCTTCAGGTCTTATTTATAGAGTGCTTTCACAGCTTCAGGAATTGTTAACTTTTTAGGCAATAAATGTCATCTTGCTTCTGAGGTTACGTTTGTTTTATTTTCCTTAGTAATATTATTGCTTTAAAACTGTAATATGTTTTCTATTTTGGTATTTTTCTGTTGCCCCAAGGGACTTGAGCTGTAACAAGGATTTGCATTGGCTACAGTGCTGTTCTTATTCTGCACATGGTTATGGGTAGACAGGAGAGAGTGCCAGGGCTGAACATGATATTCTAGTGGAACAGCTTGTGCCAAGATTTGGGCTTGAACAATTTGGAGGAGACATGATGTCACTGTCTCTGTAAAGTGAATTTGAACAGGACAGTTGTACTGTATTTTGGGCATGTGTTTTAAAAATAACAATTAAAATAATATCTTGTGTGTTTCCTTATTTTTTTTTGTCTTTGCTCTCTGGTTTCACAGCCTTTGCACTGCATTTCTTGTGTCCTGGTGGTATTTCTGTTTCATTATTTTTCAAGCGGAGTTTGATGACACTGATTTAGCAGTTTCTCACAGTTCACTGCTCCAGTTTTCATCAAATTATACTTGTAGTTATACTAGACACTTTCATCATCAATTTCCATATGCCTCAAAGACATGCAGGGACCAGTTTGCCAGCACTGAACTCAAATGCCAGACAATAACTGGAATACAGGATTTCTTTTCCTAGGGTGTCTGAGACAAAGAGCGTAGAATCCTTCAGTTTTTAGCAAGTGTTTTCAGCCTGAATGCATTAAAAATGTAGACAATAACTGCTATGAAATATTGGTTTTGGAATGTCAAATCAAGGGATAAAAATTAACATTGGTTAAACTGTAAGACCTTAGCCATTTCTTTCCAGAAACCTACCTTACATTAGAGAGCACTGCTTTTAAATTTAAGGTTCTCTCTTTCCCCACAGAATCAGAGGATTCATAAGCAACCTGAACTATATTTTCTGTACAGCTAAGTTTGATAACTATGATAATTAACACACAATAAACATTTCACCTTCAGGCTCTAGGTTTACGTGTACCTTCAGATCAGCAACGTTACTGGGGACATTTAAAGTGACAAGACTCCTGAGAATGACTGTGAAAGTCTTTTCCTTCATTTAGGGGGTCTTGGTTGCTCAGATTTGAAAGATGTCCGTGTTGGAACCCCTGACACCTTTAAAGGTTTTCTGTTACGTTCATCCTGCAATTTTCTGCGGAGGGACCACAGTTCCGACACAAAAGATAATCTGGATTTTGTAAACTGGAACTAGATGTAGATGTGCTGGAGACCATGGTTCTTAATGTCTGTCAAAAGCATAAAGTTAATTATGCAAGGCATGAAGTGAAGCTCTATTTCTTTAGATGTAAAGAGGTTAACTCTGAGTAACTGTTGACAATAGTCATTATCATCAGATGAATTTGCCATTAAATCTGTAGTCCTCAAAAAATGTCTTCAAGATAGCACAGGAGTAATAGTCTCACTTCTGCCCTACCATGTAAATTGCTTTACTTGCACTGAGAGGCAAATCTATTTCAGTTTTGGAGTTTGCTTTCCACATGGAATTTTGACCGATGTTGAGAATTTTGCACACAACTTTCAGTGCAATAGGGACCTTCTCTCAGGACTAGAGAGAAGAATTTTTCTCTGTCTGCAGGAATTTCAGTTTGTGGAGTCTGCCATTTGTAGAATGCACTCAGTGTGATAGAAAACCACTTCACTAGATCTCCTCTCTGAAGTCAGAAGGACACGGGTGGAGTGAGAGTGTGACTTCTCAAAAGTTGTGCAGACACAGTTCGTATTACATCCAGGAACAGAAACATAGTGTGGCCAGGGCCTGCCACAGGGGGAGATAATCTGTGTGATGAAGAGGGAAGGGAGTTGTTGAACAAGTTAAAGGTCAAGGAGAGGAGAAATTTGTAATACACTCTACTGTAATACTAATGCCTGTTTCCTGACACACCACCAAGTTTTGGAATTATTTGGTGCAGTGGGCTCTAAGTGCCTGAACTGCAGACAAATTAAACTAAGGGTTTTCTCATGCTTTGGCTTTGACCCAATGTGTTATAGACCAATTAAATCATAAAATGATCATTTGTGGAAAAGGGCATCCACCTTCTTCTAAACAGGTAAATTGTTATGCATTACACAGAGTGTTTAAACACCTCACATTACTCCCACAGTTGTGTATTCCCTGTCACAGCTCATTTACCAGAAGGTGACCCCCAAAAACCTTTACTTGTAGTGTGCCCTGAGCCTTCGGTGTTTGGGAGTTCCTGTAGTAATGTCTTTGCAGTAACTGCTCTCCATCAAACAACACTTGGATCTTTATGTACATACAAAACTGAAGTCACTGCCTGCTCTGTTATGAAGGAATAAATCACCCATATATCCTTCTCAGTTTTGAAAAAAGAATGTTCAGTGGAATGTTCCAGAAAAAAAAAAAAAAAAAGGAGTGTTTTTTTCTCTAGGTAACTTGACTGTCATTTACACTGGGATTTTTTAGAAGGGCGAATGACTCACCTACAACCTTTTTTGCATAATTTTTTATTTCTAGAGAGGATGAATAGGAAAGTTCCAATCAAATATTTAATTTATTTTAAACGGGCAAGGCAGCAGACAAAGTTCTGGTCCATCAAATATAAAAAGACTGCCCAGAGAGCAACTAGTGATATCTCCTTCATTAGTCTTACCTGATGCTCTTTCAGCATTGCAATGCCGTGCTCCTCTGTGTCTGCAGGTTCTGACAGAAGGTGCAAATTTCACTTCCTCTGGAGAATTGTCATTTCCCTCCAAAAGCTGGTGGGCTTCTCTGGAGGGGTCATGGAGTCTTCTTGAAGGTGTAGTGTTTGCTGGAGTGTTGAACAGGTTAGTGTATGGGCCCTTGTTTGTGAGAGCAAAAGTGGGATGAAAATTCATAATGGGACAGAATACAAAAACCAAAAGACAAGAGGCAATTTTTTTTTTTCAGCTTCTAGGATTCAATTAACTCCCAGTTCCAGTCTGTGATTTTGTTCAGGATTTTCATAGATTATACTATGATCTTCTGTTGTTTTCATGTTGTTGGCCAGCATGCATGCCAAATGCTCTGTGACTTATGGACTACAAGCGAAGAGGGAGAGCAGTGGAGAACTTTAAATCTATCCAACTATATCCAGCAAATTTGGAATGTTGTGGGACTCAGTGGGGCATTAAGCCTAAACTAATGCAGTTTTCTCGTGTTGTCTTCTGTTCCACAGTTAGCGAAGAATTTCTGCTGTAATGAGGGGAACGAGCCTGTTAAGTTATGGGTTTTGGCAGAACTGCAGTGATCTGTATTAACATGCTGAGTCCAGTGACTTTTGGTGTAGACTGCTACCAGTGCCTGTCCACTGGATCAAACTCTACTTTCTTAAAATGTTACCCAACCAAAATACACATTGTTTGGTACTCCACCCTCATACCCCACTCTCTGCAGGCCGAAAGTGAACTCTGTCTGCAATGCAAATGAGAGCCCTCGATGCTCTGGTCTTAAAATGTCTAAAAAGTCCATGTACTGAAACAAACAAATGAAAACTCCTCTGACACTGTGTCCAAAAGAAAAGATAGTGTGAAACACTGGCCTAACTTCTTGTGAAACTGTAGCACACCCTGTGCTGGTGTTGGTCTCACACTGCAGACAGAGGCAGTCTCCCATGTGCCAGTGTAGGCACTCCAGGGACTGTGCTGTGGACTAGACTGGGGAACTGACCTGCCTTGAAACCCTTTTTGGAAGGAGGCTTTTTTAAAAAAATGAATTTGTTCCTCTTGTGTGGTTTGCACGTGTTTGAAAATCGGGGAGTAGTTTGGTTGTTTGGTTGATAATTGTTTGGTTTTGGTTGGTTGGTTGGTTGGCTTCAGTTTGTGGGTTTTGTTTGTTTGCTTGTTTTGTTTTTAACTCCTTTCTTTGTAAAAGATTCTCACTCAAAAAACCCACTCAAAAATTCTGTTATTTAAGGAATGAGTTCTCAGAGGTGGACTTTAAATTATTCTTTCTTGAATTGCTTCAGAGATACTCAGGGAAGCTTTTTCCTGAACAGTAAAATGAGATGGGTGTCTGTGGTTCACTCCAGATTGCCCTGTGTGTGTCTCAAAAGCTCTGTCTTGTGCTTGGCAGAAACTGGAGACAGTGGTTCCTATGAACTGTATTAGAGATGACATAATAGATTTTGAAGAATGGGTATGCTTTTTGGGATAGTATAGTGTTTTATAATATTTAACATGCATCTCCTGCATCTGTACATTTGATGACACTCACTTTGGATTTGCAGAAGTGAAAAAATAAAATCCAGTGCAAACTCTGAATATGACTAAGGTTTAATGTGTAACATACACTTTTAATATTACAAATAGGAAGTACTAAAGTAAACAAAAGCTGTTTGTTCACTGTTTTGAATTTCACCCAGCTAGAAAAATCAGTCCTGTGACACTCACAATAAACAGCTCACTTGCTTTTTCACTTTTTGAATTTATCTCTGAGATCCTCTTGTCAAGTGTGTATTAATAAGTACGCATTCCAGCCAAAATATAGATGTTTTATTTTTCTGTATTTGCATTTTGATGCTGCTCCTGTGAATTAGAGAAAGTAACTCCTTTCCTCAGAAAATCCTTTAATCAATTTAAATAAAATATTTTTTTCCTTCTTTTAGCAACTCCAGGGCCAGCACATTTCTAAAGTTGGTGCATCTTCAGAAAGCACACTGTTCTTGGGGAAACAGAAAACAAGTAATTTGAAAAAAGGGAAAAAGTTTCGTTGTGTGCTCTTAATAGAAAATGTATCAGAGTTTGTCAAGTCATATATTAAAAATAGTGCTCCTGGTGACTGCATTACTGCTTGGTGGTGGTGAGGAACACTCAGTATTGTGATAGAAGTGTGAACCTAGAGTCAGGTCCCACTCTGGATTCACACAAGTACCCACGTACCTCTAACTTTCAGGTCCCAGAGCTTGCTTTGTATAAGGACCAATAGATCAGGTAAGTGCTCACTTCAGTACCAAGACACTGAAACACTGGGGGAATGTCCGATCTGTCTCTTGCCACACAGAGTATCAGAGAGAAGGTCTTTGAGCTTTCTAACTCCCAGTCCAGCCACCTACCCAGGCTTTCACCTTGTTTCTCCCTCTGTGCTAGAAACTCCTTTTTGTAGTGCCAGGGGCTCCAGATGTATAAGGACACAACTACAGGAAAAGTCCTGCTGCAGCTGAGGAGAAGGGACGCAGCAGGTTCAGGGTCAACCTCGCTGCTTCTCCTCACCTCCCCTGCCCCTCCATGTTCCTATGCTGAAGTTGGCAGTGGTACCAATGAAGCTGTCCTGCTCTCTCTCTGTCCTCAGTTGCTCATCTCACTCCCTGTCTTGTTCCAGAAGTGTTTGTGCAGTTGTGAAGTGGATTGAGTGAGGATATGGACTCACACTGAACCAGAATGTTTTTCCCTGGTGCTGAATGGATCAGTGTCCCAGGTGGGGTTCCCAGCTCTCACAGGAGGGTGAGTGCAGGGACAGAAGTGCGGGGAGTGGGCTGAATGCTGGACTGCTTTTTTTACAGCTGTGCCAGAATAAGTCAGCTAAAAATTCCTGTGAAACTATGGCCTCAGACTTCATTCCAGGCAAAGTTTCCCTGGAAATGTTACTTTGATTTGATTAGGAGGACGACTCATCTGTGGGCCATTTTGTCTGAAACAGGAATTTTCCTTTGGTGGTTCACAGTGCTTGCTTCTGTTAAAAGGGATAAAGACAATAGTAAAAAAAAAAAAAGAGGGACTGAAAGGGCAAATTTGGAAAAAACCTTTTGCCATTTAGTCTTTTTTTAGGTTCATTTTTTCTTAGTTTGCCATGACTCTAAACAGAACAATGCATCCCAGTGGATTTCTGCCTGGCAATACAAGGGACCCTTCTCACGGTTTTCAGTAACAAAGAAAAACCTGCCTGCTTGCCATCTATATCTAAAGGTTGGCCAGAGTAAAGATTACTTATTTAAGATATATAGGACACTATTTACTCTTAGAGACCTGTTATCTATTTTCTATCTGCTCGACTATTCAAAATTGTTTGGATTTTTTCCTTTTCTTTTCTTCGTTATTTCTTTTTTTGCCTTCCCATTGTAAGTGTACCTTTGTGGAAGTCTCCCCTTCCATTTGCTGTCTTGAAAGTAACAGAGCAAACACCTATAATCTTTACTTTGTTACTGTTGTGGCTGTTGACACAATTGCTGTGGATGGGGAGAGGGGAGAGGACGACAAAAAAAGGAAAAAGACAACAGCAACCTCCGTGATTCCCTGATTCTATCTTTCCATAGAAAAGCCCCAGTCACCCTAAGACAATGTTCGGCCTCAAAGGCGAACCCTGCAGTGGTGTTTGTGTGGTTTTTCTGGCCGCTGAGGTGAGCTTACCTACAAAGGAGCAGAGCACCGCATTAACACCCAGTGACGAAAGGTGCGGCGGAAGATGCGAAAACCCGTTCCGAGGATTTTTTTTTTTTTTACTTTTTTTTTTTTTTTCTAATTGTTGCTGTTGTTACTTATTTATTTTGCTATTCGTGTGGGCAGGGACAGAGCCGATCGGCGGTGCGCGGAGCGGGGCCGGCCGTGTTTGGGGGTGCGAGGCGGGCGCTGCCCCTCGATGGCGGGGAAGGGGGTCCCGGTGGGCTCCGGCGCTGCCCTCCCCGCTCCCCCGGGGCACCCCTGGGTGACCCCAATGGGCGGCACAGCCACCGCTCCAGCCGGCCCGGCGGGGGGAAAGCCGTGCCGCACTTGGGAAATGCAGCAGCGACTGCTCCCTCCCTCCCTCCCTGCCCGGGGGGGTGAAGTGCGAGGCAGCGGGAGGAGCCGTGCGTGTGTGTGTGTGTGTGTGTGTGTGTGTGTGTGTGTGTGTGCGAGCAGCGCGCCGTGGCCGCCGTGTTTCCTGGTGCCTGCTCCCTGACCCCAGTGGCAGTCCCGATCACTGCACCGCGCCCGCCCCCGCCGCCGCCCCGCTCCCGCAGCCGGACCCGGACCCGGACGCGGAGCCAGGGCCCCGCCGGGCACCGCCGCGGGGTCGGGCGCAGGCTCTGCCCCGGCCGCGCCCCCGCAGCCCCATGGAGCGGCCCCGCTGAAGGCATCCCCGACCCGCCCGCAGCGGCAGCCGGCGGAGGGAAGGTGAGCGGCCCCGGGCCGGTGTCGGTGCAGGGCGGGCACGGCGGGGGCAGCGCCGCACAAAGCGGCGGGTTAGAGGTGCCGTGTCATGGGCGAGAGAGCGGGAGGGAGGGGGGGGGGCGGGCAGGAGCTCCAGCGGAGGCGGCGGGTCCAGCCTCCCGCGAACAATAATGAGGATAAACCCGGC